TCCCTCCCCCTCCTCATGCTGCCTCTGCCGTTCGTTCTCCTGATGCAGATACTTCAGGCGTGTTAGCTCAAACTCCATGCGCACCTTCTCCAGCTCCATCGCATTGTGGTGTTCTGTCTCAAGGGTCAGGGGCAGCTCCATGGGTTCCGGTCCAGGCCCATCACCAGCCTGACCCTTGGTGGTAGGGCCAGACTTTGGGGACATTGACTTAGGGGGCCCTGGGCAATCTTTGTCCTCACAGGTTTCATTCTCTTCCAGGATGGGCAGTTCTAGCTTTGGGGGTTCTGCATCCTAGGATAGGGAAGAAGGGGTGGGGTGGTGGTAGAGTCAATGTGGTGCTCCCCAGAACCACTCCCTCAGATCCAAGCCTCAGTAGCCTGGGTGTGTTTGTAAAAGGTATCCAGGTCAGTTGGTGGCGAAGCACGCCTTTAATCCCTGTATTAGGGAGGCAGAGGCAGGTGGATCTCTGTAAATTCAAGGTCAGCCTGGTCTACAGAGTGAGTTCCAGGACAGCCAGGGCCACACAGAGAAACCTGTCTCGGAAAACAACAAAACAAAAGCCTTAAAAAGCAGAGTATGCAAGGTTTACTTGCGAGAAGTGTACTAGAGACTAAAGAACGGAAGGCAAATTGTCACAAAGGGGCAGTACCCTAAAGTTGTAGGCAAGGCACTGGTAGGTGAGGCGGGCATCTGGTTAGGTAGTGGTTCTTGTCGCCAGTGAGGTCACTTCCCTATTCCCCACACTTTACCTAACTGTTAGGCAACAGGTCTTTCAGGGACTCCAGAGTGAGGAAGCAGCCTAGGGTCTGTGTTGAGAGAACCAGCCAACATAGGTGTATGCATTTGCATGTGTGACCTATCCACAGAGAAGAAAGGGCCTCAAATAGTGACAGTTTCATGTAACATTATAATCCCGTGAAGGGTTACTAGTTCCTGGTGGCAGCTGGATACCAGTTATGGGGATGGGACACAGTCCTGCTCTTCTTGGTGGCATCTGAATCTCACAGTACACACCCTTAGATTCTAAGGCTTGGCACCCTCTCCCTCCCCGCCCCAATGGCTAGGGCCATCAAGGGGCACCCTCTTACCAAAGCAGCCTTTGACTTTCCTTCAGGTATGTTGTCACCAGGTGGCACCTTGGAGAGGGTGGGGCAGCTTTCTCCTGCCCCTCGGGTTTCCATCACCTCTCTTTCCTCTGTTGCCATCCAGATAACCACAGTGCTGCCAACCAGGGCCAGAGGACATATTTTAAGACAATAACATTTGGCTTCATCAGGTTCTGGCCACCATCATAATCCCCTATCCTCATAATAGCCACATTCTACCAGTTGCTAGGGCACTTTAGGTTAGAGGCTGTGGTAAGAACTGCAGGTTGTGGGCAGGAAGATAGTTCAGTCAGTAGAGTTCTCTGCTGGCAAAGCCTGATCACCTGCATTTGATCCCTGAGATCCGCGTGGTTAAAAACACAGAGAGAACTGACTTCCCACATGTGTGCTGTGGCATTTATGTACCCCATACACCCCAAATAAATGTATGTAATAAGTAATTTAAAAACAAAACACAGGGAAGATTGGGCCTTTGTTACCCCTCAGGGCTGCTTTGAAAACTGGCATGGCATCTGTTGGTTCCAGAAGCCTACTGGATGGAATCCAATTCCTGAGGTAATTGGGATGAATCGATTTCCAGTACTCAGATGGTCCCCAGGACCCCAGAATGCGACCTAATTTGAAGATGGGATCCTCATAGAAATCACCGCCTTGAAATGATGTCATTGCAGAGGATCCTAATCCAGTGTGACTAATGCCTTTAGAAGATAAGTATGCCGCTAAGTACAGAGGGAAGACCATGTAGGCTCAGAGCAAGAGGGAAGTCTTGTGTTGGCTTCCCCAGAGAAAAAGAATCAGTAGGCAACATAGGAAAAGAAACATGAGAATTAGCTCATGGGATTATAGAGATTGGAAAGTTCATAGTCTCCTGTCTGCAAACTGAAACCCCAAACCTGCAAACTGAAAGGGCTGGTACTGCTAGTCTCAGTCCAAAGACCTGAGAACAATGAGGCAGGCCCTCATGCAGGAACCCACTAATGCAATTGGTCACATTCAACCTTCCATTTTGTTTTATAAAAGACCTCGGTGGATTGGATGAGGCCCATTCACACTGGGTGTGGGCAGCCTGCTTTTCTTACTCCATTTCCTTAAAGGTTAGCACCCTCAAAGCTAAGAATAACACCTAGCAAGGTAACTGGGCATCCCAGGGCCCTGTCAAGTTGACAGGTAAAATGAACAATTATAGGCTTGCATCAGAGCCTTCTGTCCTGGTGTTTTTTTAAAACCCGAGCCTGCCGAAATGTCTAGCTTTGAGTATAAATGTCAGCTGACTGAGCCACCCAATCCATGGGACCCTGTTGAAGAATATCTAGGAAATGAATACGACTTAAACTGTACATCCTGATGCGTAGAATGGAGAGCGGAGGAGGGGGTGAAGATTCTAGAAGCCTGGGAAATACACTTTGCCATTGTTTGTCTTATGAAAAACTTTAACAAAACACTTTCAATAGGCGGAGTCAGGGGCACATGACAGGAGAACGTGCTACATCTGAACTCTAGCTCTGTTATTACCAGCTGGGTGACAGCATATGCATATGCTCCTTCCTGATTTCAGCTTACTCATGACAACTGCTAGTGGTCCTTCATGGTCCTGACTGCATGGCCTGACTCTTCATGGTCCTGACTCTCTCTCCCTTCCTGTTTATCCTGAGTCACTTGCGATTTGCCTAGAAAATTGTTCCAAGGGTGAGAATCAGAGTGACCTGGCTTGCCGGTACAAATGCAGAGACTTTGCTTGTAGTCGCCGGACAGCCTCACAGATGGTGCCCAGCCCGGTTCCATCAGTGGCATGGAAATAGAAGGATTCACGGAGAGTGGCAGCCTTAGGTTGCCAAGCAGCAGGAGCTACAGGTGGGCCAGGTAGCTCTTTGCAGGGGCGGGGCATACAGTGTGCTGAAGGTGGAGGACACATTCTGAAGCACACATCAGTTGCAGGCTTCCAAAGAATTCTATGTGTGGAGATCTTGTCCCTATCCCCTTCTCCGGGGGGCAATGTATGTCTCTCTTAGAGTCCTCCTTGTTTCCTAGCTTCTCTGGCAGAGTGGACTGTAGGCTGGTAATCCTTTGCTCTATGTCTAAAATCCATATATGAGTGAGTGCATACCATGTTTGTCTTTTTGTGACTGGGTTACCTTGCTCAGAATGGTTTCTTCTAGTTCCATCCATTTGCCTGAGAATTTCAAGATTCTCCTGAGCAAATTGGGAGCATGGTGGGAGGGGAGAGGGAGCTAGGAGAATGAGAAGGGGAGAAGAGGAGGGGTGAGGAGGACATGAAGGAGCAGGAAGGTTGTGTCAGGGAAAGAATAGAGGAGAGCAAGATAAGAGATAACCATAATTGAGGGAGCCATTATAGTTTTAAGGAGAAATCAGGCACTAGGGAAAGGTCTGGAGATCTACAAAGATGAC